GAGATCTCTTTTTTCAAGATTTTTAGAAATTTTGACTTAAATTTGATGTGACCACGTTAAATTATTTCGATAACATCTATTTCGTTTCGCCACCACATAATTTGGTACTACACTTCAATGTAACCCGGCTTCTATTTCAGTTCTCAAGAAATCGAGTCAAAATAAATTGGTATTAATATTCGAATCAAAAAGAAAAAAAAAATATTAAAAAAAACACTACAAATGTACATTCGAAAAAAGTAAGTCAAAATAGAAAAAAAAAACATACAAAATAAACATTACGATTGTACATTTCAGAAGTCAAAATGAAAATGTTAATATATCACATTTTTACGCGATTTTTTGAATATTATCCTTTTCGGAAAAGAGACAATTCAGAATTTGTATGAATCGTTAAAATCAGATCAGCGGTTCTTGAGTTATAAGCGTAGTAACTAACACAACTTACATTTATATATATAGATTAACACAGTTACCTAGCCCATAGGGCCATGCAAACTTCTATACATGACTACTTTATGTTGTTTCAAGTCTTAAATCTAGTCATCAACATGTCATCTTTATATTATTATCAAACTTAGATCGAGTTCGGCGATGGGTAATATCGGTTCTCTCCATCAAGTACCTCCCCCACAATGGTTCACAATTTTGAATAACAACTCTTATAAAATGATGTAAGAGTCTTCATATTACACACATCACAATATTTTTATCAACCTAGGTTTGGTATGAAGATGGAATGTATCGGTCCATTGCTTTGGGTACCCCTCCCACAAACGGTTAAAGTTTTGGATAATCAAAACGATTATAAAATCCAAAATAAGCATGCGGTTCTCTTCATATTACACACATCCCATTACTTCTACTAACAATGTGCTGTTAAGATAGATATATCGGTCCACTCCTTCCGGTACCTCCCCCATATAGGGTCGAAATTTTGAGTATCCATGAAGCTCATAAACGCGAAATTAACATGCAATTCCATTCAGGTGCATCTCAATATTCCACCTACAGAGGATCAATTATATAGATGGTAGAGGTTGGCTCATTTCTTCTGGAAACTCCCCCATATTGGCTTTAAGATTAAAAAAAAAACAAAGTTCAAAGAAACTGAATTAAGCATCCAACTCTCTTCAAATTTCACACATACAAGCATTTTTGCTCACACAAGATATACTGTGAAGATGCTATATATTTGCGAAACCCTTCTAGTACCTCACCCACAAAGATTCCCAATTTTCAATACTTTTATCTGTCATAACTTGCGAAACAATGAGCGTTACTTTACATCTTACTATATCTAAATATTCCTCCCAACAAGAAACTTGAGTTGAATATAGAATTTATAATTTTGCAGAAGATTGGATAATATTTTTCGATTTAAGTATGTAAGTCTATCTATCCGTCCCATTGAGATGAAATTTTCCAAACAATATTTGTTTGGTCCAAAGACGAACCCAAATGAGATTGGTGAGAAACGGTTCAAATTTGGATATAGCTCCCATATATATCTTCAACCGATTTCGGGTTAATTGTGCACCAAATGGCCAATATCACTACGTTTTTACGTCCCTCAAATTCGTAATATACACTCCACAAGTATGACATTTGGTACCAAATATCAGATAACGTCCAGAAAAACCTGTGACAAATTTTATAAAAATCGGCTCAGATTTGGATATAGCTCCAATATATATCTTCAACCGATTTCGGGTTTGTTTGTGCACCATATGGCCAATATCACTCAGTATGACCTGAATGTTGGCACATCCGACCGAATTCAGTTTTGAAGCCATCTGATTAGGTCTTTAAGTACCTCATTTATAATATGCACTCGACTACAATGATATTTGGTACCAGATATCTTAAAGAGCTCGGCTCATATTTGGATATAGCTCCCACATTTATCCTTAATTCGATTTTAGGTTTATTAGGCAAACAACAGATATGTCTCCCATATATTAGTTCCCTCTGATAGAAGGTATGATCTACTTAAAAATCAATTATTTTGTTACTGGAGCCCGACTTTTGATTTTTCCTTACTGGTTTTATCTATATTAGACGAAGTATGAAAATGGAATACTTCGATCGAATATATCTGGTACCACTTTTTAACATTTTTCTAAAAGTTATCACATATATCATATAAACCAATATAGTCCAACATTTATACCCTACAATACTTTGTGTTGGGGGTATTATAAGTTTATGCCAAAAATTATGTAACACCACGAAATATTGATTTCCCACATAGGAAAGTATATATGGATCTTCCTATCTCGCCGCGCTGAGTCGATCTAGCTATATATGTCCGTCCGTCCGTCTGTCCATGTTAATTTGTAATCACTCTACAGCTCGCAATTATGGCACGATCTTCACGAAATTTAGAATGGAGGTGGGGTTTGGGTCAAAATAGAACCCTGTTGCTATTGGATATAATCGCATAATATTTAGGGGTTGAAATGGACCAAAAACTGAATAATTTCCAGATTTTGCAGTTGTTCTACAGGCCGCAATTATAGACCAATCTACGTGGAAGTTAGCACGGTGCTAGAGCTTAGGTCTGGGCAGAAGTCTTCCAATTTTGATGGTCATCGGGTAATATTTAGTAGTTGAAATAGACCATATCATTTTTGCTTAATAAAAGTAAACATTTCCATTAAACGGCGAATATTTTTAATCCCAGCGAAATCACAATAGACGAACAGGTCAATTCTGACCGTTACGTAGATGCCGATATTAAATATATCGGTTATATATAGCGAAATATATACAAAATATATATAAAGGAAGGTAATGTTAGCTAGAATGCTTATATCTCAAGAATGGCTGGACCGATTTTGAAAAATTTTGTCAATTCCGGATGCCCTCTTGGCATAAAAGTATAAAATCTAATCTCTTTTATTTGTTCGTATTTTTTATCGCATGCGATTTTTTCAATTTGACTTATAATATTTTGTAATATTTTTTCACCTTACAACACAGGTTGGGGATATTAAATGCATATTGCAATTATCGTCTGATCCTCACGAAAATTTTCACAAGGGTAGGGTTGGGCTCAGAAGGGCTATGCCTATTGTTTTCAAATATGTCCGCAATATATTAGGGGTTGAAATGGACCAACAACTAAAGATGTTCTTGATTTTTTTTCGTTATAAAGGTCACAAATATAAACCAAAGGACACGAAATCTCGCATAAAGTTAGAGTTTAGGCAGCGGGTAGAATAGACCACTAATTTTGTGTGAAAAAATACCAGCATTACTTACAGGCGATATCCTAAATACACAAAAGGCGAACTTCTGGCTTTTTTATGCTGATTTCGTCGACGAATATAGCCAAATATCGTAGACAAGCAAATCATATAGATGAGTCTAAATTTAGAGGCAGGGAGGTGCTTCTTGCTTTTGGAGATGTTTGCAAAATAATTAGGGGTTCAAATTAACCAAAAACCGAAATGTTTTCCGATCACACAATTGAAGCCAATCGACACGCCTGTGAACAGAGTTAAGGACAGGGAAAAATTCTAGCATATTGGATGACCATTGGATTATATTTTACTGTATTTTACTGTATCAACTAATAGCCTGACGGAGTGCATAAATATTAGACAAATGTCCCTAGTCAAAATCCTAATTTCATAAGCGAAATCTTCCAATATGGATTTGGACATAAGGGAGCTTCTAATATATTGTAGTGTTGTAGGGTATAACAGTCGGCCCCGCACGACTATAGCCTTTGCTTACTTGTTTCAATTTGACTTATAATATCGAAGTATATATTTTGTAATATTTTTTCACCTTACAACGTAGGTCGGGGTTATTATATACAGATTGCATTTATCGTCCGATCCTCACGAAAATTTTCACAAGGATAGGGTTAGGCTCAGTAGGGTTAGGCATATATATAGAACAAAAACTAAAAATGTTCCTGATTTTGCAGCCGTTATAAAGGTCACAAATATAAACCAAATGACACGAAATCTTGCATGAAATTAGAGTTTAGTACAGCGGGTAGAATGGACCACTAATTTTGTGTGAAAAAATACCAGCATTACTTACAGGCGATATCCTAAATACACAAAAAGCGAACTTCTGGCTTTTTTATGCTGATTTCGTTGACGAATATAGCCAAATATCGTAGACAAGCAAATAATATAGATGAGTCTAAATTTAGAGGTAGGGAGGTGCTTCTTGCTTTTGGAGATGATTGCAAAATAATTAGGGGTTCAAATTAACCAAAAACCGAAATGTTTTCCAGGGACAGGGAAAAATTCTAGCATTTTGGACGACCATTGGATTATATTTAGCTGTAAAATAGACCACAACAACTAACAGCTCGACGGAGTGCGTAAATATTGGGCAGATGTCCCTGGTCAAAATGCTAAGGGTAATATCTGGGCAGTGCTCCGTGACATAATTCCAAAAGCGAAATCTTCCAAAAATTTATGGAATGGACATAAGGGAGTTTCTAACATATTGTAGTGTTGTAGGGTATCACATGATCGGCCCCGCACGACAATAGCCTTTGCTTACTTGTTTTATTATATATATTTAGGACCGAAGCGAAATGGACATAATTGCTCGATTCCTTCGGAACCTATTCCATCGACAGTCAGCAATTTGAATAATAATACAGGAGTCAAAATATATTTAAATAATCGAACATTGGCTGTCAGCAAAAAAACTGACACTTTTAAACTATTTTTTGTTTTTTTTTTAGGACTAACTCATTTTTTTAAATCCACTGGTAGTAGTGATATCTTTTTACATTACCGTAAAATGGGTTACTCGGGTCATTTAGCCTCTGATTTTTTGCTGGCATGAGCCACTCACATTAGAAAATATCGAACTATGCCGTAATTCAAAAAATATTTAATAATGCGAATGTTAAAATATAAAAACAAAAACTCTTTTCTATGAACTTGTTCACATTTTTTTTTTTTCTAATTATTGTTCATCTGCTAATAAAATACTATTTTTTGTATCCCCTCTCTTTTCAGATACTATCGTGCCAACTCGGTACGCTATCAAACCGATCCATGCGATAATATGTGTATGCTGAATCACTATTGTGCCATTACACGTGTCGATTACAAAGAATTTCGCCAATGTTTGGAAAAGGAACAAAGTGCACTGCGTTCGAATGCCGGACACCTAAAGCATCTAAACGGAATTATTCTCTCCGCAATTCTCTGCTCTGCTGCCCTAATAAATTTGCGACTTGTACTAAATCTTTTACAGGCAATGACTCGCCTCATAATTACATGTCAGCAGGAATGTCAGGAGCACTTGAATTTCAGCCGATTCATAAACACAGAGAAATCTAAATTACAGAGAGCAAAAACGGCCGACAATGTCAATCACTACAACAATGCTAACCACAATAATGCACACAATGACAATTTATCCGTTGAGTTGGTGGCTGGGAGCGAGCATAGCTGTGGACACTCGTGCATGCAACAGAAACCGATGAGGGCTTTTCAAATAGGTACAAACCATTGCGACAAGGGTCACAGGAGTCACAACAAATGTAGTGACTCCAATAGTTTATGCAACAGTGACAGTTCACTACAGCTCAACAACAGCAGCAGCAGCAGCAGCGATGACAATAAGCTACATCTTCTGACTCTTGATTCCGTCAAGAGCAGCAACAATGTCAGGCAACATAATGGCAAAATCCAGAGACTGGCCATCCCCGCAGGGGAGGATTCAAGTGAAATTATTATGCAACATCAAAACTCAGCTGCATCCCGTCTACACACTGTCTTTAGAGTTAAAGCCGCCTCTGATAGCCAGAAGAATCTCCATGTCTGTCACAAGTGCTGTGACCACATATTATTAAGGCGTTGCATGGAGTCAATATGTGAGTTAGGCATTCATCTGAACTCATGTAGGAGTTTTGCGGGAGACCACCACCTGCTCTCGCATTTTAGGTATTTCTAATTAAATTTTGATAATCCATAAGCCTGATTACAGAGCGGGCGCAACAATGCTGTGAGTGTAGTTTGAATTTGAAAATCTAATTTTATGCTTTTGTTTCCGACATGATTTCCCGTTCGTTATGGCTTCCGGCTTTGACTGTACTTTCGGTTGCATATTGTTGTAAATTAGGTTGCCGTTACACACACATATATACATAAGGCGAGGCAAAAATACATAATACATATTTGTTTGTTGTTCTAATATAGGTAATATTTATACAAATAATTAAATCATACAACAATAATTATAATAATATAGAATGAATAAATGAATGAATGAATGCATAAATAACTCAATGTATACACAGGCCAACTACACCAAAAGATGTACATTTTATATTGTTGTTGTTAAATAATTAGTTTTAATTTTACAACCCACCACTTCATTTGTTGCAATTATTTTATCTTCGATCAGAGCGGAGTGGATACGGAGTGGCGCTATATCGCCGGTGTTGATATCCTCCAGCAGATAATGGAGACAATGTACATGTACATTTGCACCAAGAAAAGGAAATTTGTCATTCCGTTTGTAATACTTCGAAATATTTGTCGGAGACCCCATAAAGTATATATATTCAGGATCAGCATTGAATTCTATATCGTTTCAGCTGTTGGCCCATCTTTCCGCCTATCTGTCTGTTGAAAACAATATTATTTGACGCATAGCATGCATTCCATTTGGCATACACATTTCTTGTACAGCCTCCATATAACGTCGTATTTTCTATCGGAATTGTTTAATATTTGGCATCTGTTGTTCATAATAGGATTTATCACCTATGCAATGTCCGGCCGTCCGTCTCTCCATCTGCATGACCGTTTATTGAAATCAAGGTAGAGTAAATAAATGTCCTAAAATTGTTAGTATTGAAAATACCCCACATCGGTCAACATTTATTTATGGCCCCGTTATTTCGAAGGTTTTTGTCTCAAGTTCCAACCAAATCAGCAGTCATTTCAAATTTCTTTTTTTTTCAATTCACAATGAGGAACCACATTTTGGTATCAACCCCATAGAACGGTACTTCCTATTCTGTTTCTTCCTACTTTTATGTATAGGCGTCATAGAACGATAGCTCCATATTTTCGGAAGTCAAACGGTTTTGGTCCTAATTTATTTCCAATCAAATAAGGTGCAATTTGCAGGAGGGCTTTAGGAAGACCTTCAGGTCTTCTCATAGGAGACCACAAAATCTTCTTATAGAAGACCACCAGTAGTAATACTTTCAGAAAACCAAAAGGCCTACTATATAGAAGAAAAAGAGGTATTCTTATGGAAGATCATAAGGTCTTCTTTATAGAAGACCCAGAAGTCTTTTCATAGAAGACCAAAAATTCTTCTTTATAGATGACCAAGAGATCTCCTCATAGACGATTAAAAGGCCATCTTTATAGAAAATCAAAAATCGTCTTTACAGAAGACTAAAAACTCTTATTTTTAGAATGACTAAAAGGTTTTTTTTTTAGAAGATTTTCTTTATAGAAGACCACTCCACTTTTTAGTGTAGTTAAGAATTGCTGATTTGGCCGCGAATATAGAGGTGGGAAATTGGATACAATTTTACTCAAATGTATCATAAGTCCCCAGAATTTTGACCATATAGGCGTTATATCATTTACAACCCTCATTTGAAAAATTTTAGGTTAGCATTTGTGTTCCCAGGCGGCAGAAACCCACCCCGAAAAGAACTCACCACATAGTATAAAATTTTTGTATAGCCCCATTATAAAAGTATATTTTCCAAATTTATCGGCAGCAGTTCGAAATTTCGGGTTTTCAATAGCAAAAATCATTTCCACAAAAATCCGTAGTTTCGGGCAATTTGTTGGTATAGCTTCCATATAGGTTAGTTTCATTGTGATTATACTGTGTTAAAAAGGAAAAGAAAGATTTTAAAAGGATGGAGGATGATACATCTTTATAGAGAGAAGTAGAAAGAATGGAGAACAAGCATCGAAAAGAGTTGCGTTTTTGAAAGTAAAGCCTTCCCCACATATCCTGCAGTATTTGACGTTAGACTTATACCTAGCTTCCATATGAGTGGTCATTACTCACGATTTAAAATATTTAGCTGTAATTTGATATTTATTTTCAGAGAATAAAACCCCACCTGTAGACAATTTCCAATACAGGTCAGCTATTTGCATACCTCATGAATTTCGGCATTTTGAGATTTTAGGCCATGAGATAGGAATGGTAGTGATAAGGTAGCTTGGGTTATCACTGAATAAAATTTTCGAATATCGGTCCAGATTCCAACACCTGGAGGAAATAGCAAATCTGGCCGTATTGAGATGTTAGGGTCGTAGTCTCATTTTCCAAATGAGAAAAGACTTTCTTCGAAATATAATCTAATCCTCTTGGTATTGCTCCAAATAAAAAGCTTAATTTTGACATTTCAAATAACAAATCAGGCTAATGTTACTCAATATTAATATCGCCTTTGCCAAAAATTATTGATATAGGTCCGCATTTTGTTGTAGCGTTTGGTGTAATCTCCCATATTTGAAGGCTTCTCAATAGTTTTTGAACGAAGTGTCATCCGACAGAAATGGATGCTCTTTGTCCACGTTTTGATAATCCTAACGTTTGAGAGTACATCCCAATTGTAGATGCTTTGAATCACGCATTGTCTGTAATTTGGCATTACAAAAATTTTAAAAGGTACCCATATTTGTATTCAATTCGCCTTGAAAAAGACACTATGAAGCAGTAAATTTGGCCAAGCCGAACTTTGAATATCCTCACCATTTGGAAAAAATTTATACATTTTCAAAAAAAAAAAAAAAAATCCGTTAAAAATTATATTAAAATTTTAATCTATTTTGGGGTCTACATGAAGATGAGGACCCGCATAGGCAACTTTCTGTCAAAAGCTGTAGTAACCATTATGAAGTGCAAATACGAAATTTGAAAAAGTTCCGGAGAATAATGTAACTAAAATCATCAAAATACCGAATAAAGGGAGGTACTGATATTCAGGGGCTATACGAAGACCTGAACCTGCATAGAAAATTTTCTGTCATAGACTGTAGTACACATTAGGAACTTCAAATACGAAATTTGAAACTATTCTGGTGAATAGTGTTGCTGAAAATCAAAATACCGAATATAGCGAGGTACCGTACCGAAAGTAACTAAAATCATCAAAATACCGAATAAAGGGAGGTACTGATATTCAGGGGCTATACGAAGACCTGAACCTGCATAGACAATTTTCTGTCATAGACTGTAGTGCACATTAGGAACTTCAAATACGAAATTTGAAACTATTCTGGTGAATAGTGTCGCTGAAAAATCAAAATACCGAATATAGCGAGGTACCGTACAGAAATACCGAAAGTACCAAGACCTGGACCTGTTTGAAAACTTCAAATACGAAATTTGAAAAAATTGCTTTGAATAATATAGCTGCAATCATCAAAGGTTATAGTACCCGTTACGAACTGTAAATACGAAATATTAAACAATTCCGGTGAATAATGTCGCTTAACTCCTCAAAATAACAAATATAGTGAGGTACGGTTAGATGGATGCTATACAAAGATCTGGACCTGCATATGCAATTGTCTGTCATAGGCTATAGTACCCATTACACAAAATTAAAATACGAAATTTTAAACATATCCGGTGAAAACCAAATGTCCAGCAGATGAAACACACTTTTGTGTAAAATTTGATCTACCTACTTCAATTCGTTCGGAAGCTAGAGTGATTGCCACAGACAGACATCACTAAATTGACATAGAATTTTATGCTAATCTAGATCAGGAATATACTCTTTGTGGAGTCAAAAATGTATATTGCGAGGTGCTACAAACGGAATGGCGAACCTAATATACCTTCCATACTATGGTGGAGGGTATAAAAAGAGAACTCAGAATATTTAGAATTTACGAATATTAACACCCCTCGTATTTACACTCTGTTTGAGGAAAAGAAAACAAAAAATTGTGTCATAGGTCAAATGAAATTATTTGTTAAATCCTTAGGTTATTTAATACAATCTCACCAACATTTAAATTCGTTATTTTAATTTCAAATAATTTCCATTTGATTATCTTTGACAAAAACACGACAGCAAATTAATTATTTATTTGCAATTCATTCCAAATAACAATTACAAATATACAAATATCGAATAACTTAATTACTAATAAGTAAAATAATATATCTAAAAATAAATAAATAAATACATGTGTAACAACATACACAACAACAATAATTTAAAATATATTCTATAGAATATTGAATTACTTATAATATTAGGCATTATGAGAAAATCTTATTTGTCACGCATATAAATATGTAAAAATAAAAACAATTACAACAACTAACAAGTTAAAAAGCAGTAAGTTCGGCCGGGCCGAACTTTTAATACCCTCCACCATTTGCAGCGAATTTGGAAATTTTCAAAAAATAAAATCCTTAAAAAATTCTGTTAAAATTTTAAAAATACCGAATATAGCCGTTATTTTGGGGTCTATACGACGGGGACATACATAGGCATTGTTGGTCATAAGCCATTACCATATTCAAATTCGAAACTTGAAATAAACGGTGAACAATGTAGCTAAAATCATCAAAATACCGAATATAGGGAGGTACCGTTATATGGGGGCTATACGAAGACGTGGACCTGCACGGATAATTTTCCGTCTTAGGGTGTAGTATCCATTTTGAACTTCAAATACCAAATTTAAAACAATTCCCGTGAATAATGTCGCTAAAATCATCAAAATACCGAATATAGGGAGGTACCGTTATATGGGGGCTATATGAAGACGTGGACCTGCACGGATAATTTTCCGCCTTAGGGTGTAGTATCCATTTTGAACTTCAAATACTAAATTTGAAACAATTCCCGTGAATAATGTCGCTAAAATCATCAAAATACCGAATATAGGGAGGTACCGTTATATGGGGGCTATATGAAAACGTGGACCTACATGGCCCATTTACGAACTTAACCTGCCTACTGGAAAAATAAACATGTGTGCAAAATTTTAGCCACCTATCTCAATTCATTCGAAAGATAGAGTGATTACAACAGACAGACGGACAGACAGACGGACAGACAGACAGACAGACGGACATCGCTAAATCGACTTAGAATTTTACGCTGATCAAGAATATATATACTTTGTTGGGTCTGATATGAGTATTTCGAGGAGTTACAAACGGAATGACAAAGTTAATATACCCTCCATAGTATGGTGGAGGGTATAAAAACCAAAAACAAAAAAAAAAACAAAATATCAGACGGTCATAATGCTTGAAGTACCAATGTCCGCACCACTAAACAAATGTGTGTATAATAAAAAAAAACAACATTTATTTCAATCCCTACAATGTATGTTTCTGTATGTATATTTAACCATTTGTGTGTAAGTGTAAATGAAATGACATTAGCATTTATTATTCCAATGAAAGAACAAAAAAAAAAAAAAAAAAAACGTAACCGGATTGCAACTTCAGCTCGACAGATCGTCCAAATTCAATCAGCTTTTTTGATTGCATTCACAGAGTTCAACTATTCGATCTAGTCGAGTTTAGGATGAATCCTTAATTCAATTGGCTTAGACTAAGTCTTATACTAAATGTGTATACAAAATAAAACTAAATATAAAAAGAAATAAAATAATAAAAAAATAATTTCAATGAATAAACCAATAAAAGTGCGTTTTTATTAAAAAAAAAAAAAAACAACTGACTGGATAAAGGTAATTGGGTGATATGAGATTTTGGAGGATAAGGAACTATTCGAAATTGTCCAAACTATGCAGATTGTATACCTTCCCCATTTTGTGCACCCAAAAATAGTAAAATTACAAAATTATTACAATAAGAATGGAGCACCTGATTAGGTTGAAACTTTACACCTCACAATATCGATACCCTACACCACAAGGTGGTCAGGGTATTATGTGTTTGTGCATTTGTTTGTAATAGGTAAATGGAAACGAGATAGACCCATAGTTCCTACTGATGATCTGAATAGAATCACTATCTGAGTTGATTTATGCATGTCTGTCCGTCCGTCCGTCTGTCCATGTATTCTTGTGCACAAAATGCAGGTCGCATTTATAATCCGATTGAGATTTGGCCCAAGGACGAACTCTATTGAAATTGGAGATAATCGGTCAAAATTTAGATATAGCTCCCATATATATTTTCGTCCGATTTGCTTTTTGTTGTGCACCAAACGTGTAATATCAGCCCGAATAGTATGGAATTTTGCACATACAACTAGGCCTGAAAATAAGTGTGTCAAATTTGATCGAAATCGGTTCAGATATAGCTATAGCTCCAATATATATTGTTCATCCGATTTGTTTTTTTTTTTTTTGTCTTCCGCAGCCGTAATATGCACTCTGTAACAACAATATTTGGGAAATATATCAAATGCAGCTCAGAAATACCTTTGCTAAATTTTATCGAGATCGGTTCAGATTTAAATATAGCTCCCATATATAATTTCGTCCGATTTACATTTTATTGTGCACCAAACGTTTAATATTTGCCCAAATGGGATGGAATTTGGCACATACGACCGAATTGAGTGTAGAAGGTAGTATGTCAAATTTGGTGAAGATCGGTTCAGATATAGCTATGGCTCCCATATATATTGCTCATCCGATTTGTTATATTTGTTACCCACAGCCGTAATATGCACTCCGTAACAACGATATTCATGGAAATATATCAAATACAGCTCAGAAATACCTTGGCTCAATATTATCGAGATCGGTTCAGATTTGGATATATAGCTCCCATATATATCGTTATCCGATTTCAAATTAATTTTACACCAAATGGGCAATTCAAGTCCGAATTTAAAAGATACAAATGCTTCGGCATATTTAGTCCTTTGAATTTTAAATTATAATTATAATCATAGGGTGTATGATTGAATTCTCCCATAAAAACTTAATTGGTATGTGGAGCTCAACTAAATTAGCAATGTGGTGTAGGGTATCATAAAATCGGCCCCGCCCGACTTTAGGACTTTCTTTGCTGGTTTTATCATATATATTGGAAAATTTCCAAGATCGGACCATTCCTTCCGGCGCCTCCCTCACAAAATGCGAAGTTTAATATCCCCTGGAATTTATAGGAAGTAAACGATTTGGTGATATTTGTATCAGACAGAAATCATGTGGGAAAATCGACAATATCCGCCCAATCTTTCTGCTACCTCCACCACAAAGTGTCGAAATTTTGAACAATCAGGCATGTCACAGAACGTAAAATCGTTCAAGAGTGAAAACGAAAACGGTTTTAGCTTCTCTAAAAAACGGAAAACGCAAAACTTTTGCGTTTTGATATCACTTTCAAAAAGCAGGGTGAAATTGAAATGTTTAGTGATTTTAACATAAAAAATAAACAGAAGACACATACATTAACAGAAAATATTGTATTAACCAAATTCTCTTAGAATGAACATGTTTTTGGAATTTATTTTACAAAAAAATCTATTATTTTTCTAATCCATGAATTCGGAAGGTTTAACCATTCTAACGTGAGTTCCGTCAATGCATCCTACAATTCCTGAAATTTCATAATTTTCAAAAAATTACAATTTAGACTTTCTTTTTTCTTCGGAAGACATTCTTAATTTGATCCAATGTGGACAAATTTCAGCTTCAATTGCATTAATAACTCTCCACATAATTGTAGAAACTGTACTTCTCCCAAGGCTTAGCTCCACATCTCTACCTATAACTCCTTGAAATGCACCCGTAGCCAAAAACCTAAGCGTTGTTGCAAGCTGGATAATAGCCGGTATATTGGAACGTTTGAGGTGGGGAGAAATTTTTTCCAAAACTAAAACAAAAGCTTCTTTATTTAGCCGATAATAAGCTATAAATCTGTAGAAATAAATTATTATTAAAATAAATTTGAAAATAACTCATTGCTGGTGGATCCTTACTCTGCATTTGAGTGAGATAAAGGATCTGATGCGTTCCTCAATGTCCGGCGACGAATTTTTTTCAGTAGACCGCTGATTTATTTCTTCATCCATTACAGCAAGTATTGAAGCCCCTGGCATTTTTACTTTTGGTGTTTATATTATAAAAAACAATTTAAACTCCTTTTTTAATTGTCAATAATTTGTTTACGACTTTTTTTTTTCATGGAGTTACCATATTTTTATTTCAAAAATGTGAAATGATTTTTTTTCCGGATGAGTCAAAACGTACGAGTGCTGAAGAAGCAAAAGCAAATCGTAACGATTTGGAAAGGGTGAAATAAATCGATTTCGTAAAACTTCTGTGACATGCCTGAATATCAGTGATTCCAATATTCCGACAAAATCGATAAAATAAAACATGACAAGTAAAAATATATCGGTTGGTTTTGCCGACAGATATATACCCTCAGCCAATATTTTGACTTCTGTTACGAATTTTCAAACTCTTGACCCTCTATAGAGTGGGTTTGGAAAGAATGGGTCAATATTGTCCATTTCGTATCTGACATATATGTGTGAAATTTGAAAGGAGTTGGAGGCTTGTGTTGATGGCAATATTGAGATGTACCATGTCTGGAATGGAATCGGCTGTTGTTGTTGCTTTTTATGAACTTCATGAATATTCAAAATTTTGAGCGTTTGTGGGGGAGGTAGCAGAAGGAGTGGACCGATATACTTTCTCTTACTACCAGATCTTGGGATCATAAAAATAGTAGGATGTGTGAAATTTGAATACAATCGGACTCTTGCATCATATGTTTTAACAGTTATAATTATTCAAAATTTTGACCATTTGTGGGAGATGCACTTGATAGAATGGATCAATATTATCCATTTTGGCACGAGACCTAGAACTGACGCGAATAGTAGGATTTGCAAAATTAGAGCAAACTTAGATTATTGCTTCCCTTTCTGTGCAGAAAAAGTTTTTTTGTAGCAAATTTTGACCATTTCTGGCGGAGGTACCAAAAGGAGTGGACCGATATTGTCCATCTTAATACCAGATCTTGGGTTAATATAAATATTGGAATGTGTGAAATTTGAAGACAATCGAACTCTTACATCACATTTTATGCGAGTTGTAATTATTTAAACGTTGACCATTTGTGGGGGAAGTACTTGATGGAGTGGACCAATATTGTGCATTTTCACACCTGACCTAGCACTGACGCAAATATTAGAATATGCAAAGTTGGAGCAAAATCTGATTATCCTTTCTCTTTCTGTGCATAAAATATATTTTTTGAAAATCTCGAACTTTTGTGGGGGAGGTACCAGAAGGAGTGGACCGATGTTGCCCATCTCCGAACTCGATCTAAGTTTGACAAAAACAGTACGATGTGCCTAGTTTGGACCAAATCGGATACTCCCTTCCAGAGTTATCGTGCGCACCAGCCAGCCAGACAGACAGACGGACGGACGGACATCGCTAGATCGACTCCAAATGTTCTGAAACGGATTTGGTTCAAAGAGATCTAGGGTTTAAAACCGTTATTTCGACTAGGCATGTTTTTGCCGTATCAAATGATATATACCCTCTGTAGCCATATGGCTGAGGATATAAAAAATTATTGTAGAAATTAGCGAGAGGATGTGATTTTGCTTAAACTTGGAACATCGTAATATTTATATCGGATGGGAAAACAACATCACTCCGATTCATTTCCTACAAAGGATAAAACTCGGCTCTCTGATATCTTCTCTACAAAAAGGTTAACATTTAGAAGAAAAAGAAAATTAAAAATATTTAAAATTGTGATATTAATGTTCGATTACACTGTGTAACACAATAAATAATT